CCACTCATCCCTCAGTTGCCCTTAAATTGCCCACATAATACGTAACAACAATCGTTCCTTTAGCAACATAATGAATTTTTTACCAGCCTAGTAACCCAATTCTACTCAGTTCACTTCAGTTTAAACAACCATTAAGCATGCATTTCTGTTCAACGCTTTGGATTGCTGTATTTTGGATGAACAACAGGAGGAAAACAAGGAAGTTGGAAGTAGGATCAAAGAGAAAAATTAGAATTTCAGTGGACTCATGTTGCAGAGAAATTGAGAAGATGCACGAACGCCACTATTCACGACACTGAGCTATATCACTCAGTGTGTCTAACCATCGGTGACCATCATCTTGGAGTCCCCAACCGGGGAGCCTAACGTGAACTATGTGACGCCGAATCCTGGTTTGGGTTTTCATACCCTCCTGTCCGGTCTTATTTTGATCACCCTTGGTTTTTTTCCAACCACTACCTGCCTCGGCAAACATCGCTCGTCGTGGCAACCTATCTGGTGACATGCGTTCTAATTCTACTACACTGCCTTGATAGCACATGCAGACATTCCGAATGGTTTTTTTAAGCTTGGTATTTTCCATGTTTCATTCTGCACCTGGTTATTCTAAGCGATTTCAACTAATCTGCTGTTTGCGTTCTTTCACTTGTTTACGTGCAACTACACTTAATCATCATTCTGATTTTTTGCGACGTTTTTGTTGGCCAGTCACATGCTCAATATACGATTGTTTTTTTTTCATGGGGGTGGATTGGGGTATTCTCCTCTCAGACATCACAACCCTGTTGAAAGATCGGATGAGAAACTGTTTCATCCCAACCGCGTGGTTATTTAAAAAATCTCTGTAGCCTCATCCGTCTGCGACGCCCTTTTTTGTTTTGTGCACGACTGTGTCAATCTGTTACAAATTACCATTTACTTGTTTTGTTCTCAAATCGTTTTGATGGCTCAGCCGATTCACAAACTTCCGTACAACGATTCTTGTGTCTGTTTTGCAGTCTACTCTTTCTGACCAGACATTTTTTTGCACGCCTGTTAGAGACCGCACCTCAACCAACTGGTTGTAGGCGTGTATGACTCAGATGCATCGATCTCGGTTGGAGCGTACTCACCTCCGGGCTATGGCCAGCGCATTCGGTAGTATGCAAGTGACTCGCCTCCATTCGGGCGTCTGTTAACCCAAGAAGAATCGGTGGTTAATTGGGCATGCAGTCTGAAATAAATATAGATAGACAAATTGACTGATGAAAATGATCATAAATAGATAGGTGAACAGATGAGCTGACAAAACAGTTGTGTTCAGTGATCTCTTAGATTTCTTTCAATGCGAATTGAAATCTCACGGGCGAAAAGGATTCAGAATGATCGATGAATTTGCACAGGCAGACGGTTTTTTCTGAGAAATGTGTTGTGGAGGATGAATTGAAGTAGATACCTATCCATGATTATTTTTGTGAATAACGGGTTTTTCCAAGCCGATGGTGGATGCTATGAGTATGTAAATGGTGTATTCGAACACACTTACGCTAGACTATCCTAGTGTTCATCGGAAGAAATAAGAACCACTTCAAAATATGTCCTATTCAGTGACCGGAGAACATGATAAACTAAACCGAGAAGGATTTGTCTTTTCGCTACTCACCTGCCCTCTCCATGGAGCTCCTGGAATTTAACTAATATCATAAAATTGAAGTGCTATAGAATCACGATATTTACCTACCACCGCAGACTAGTTATGTTAATCCAAATTTTCGATATTTACCGCCTACGCTTAGGTCACCGACTCGTCCAGAGTAACATCACGTGTTCAAGGACTCAAAACCTGTGTGAACATCATGACACCCATGTGAAACAATGTGCGTTATGGCTGAAAACGAACTCTATACAGTTATTTCGTTCTTGTTTCACCTCATAAGCAGTGCGCACCAGGTTGCGAGTTCAAACCCTTACCTCTGAGCCAGGCAATCGAAGAGTGGTAGTTAAATGCATCACTACACTAAGTGTATAATGTTAATTGTTATTCCATGAAGAATTCACCGACATCTGACTTGGTCTATTATTGTTTCTGTTATTGCCGTGTGAATCTCATTCTTTTGGAGTTTCGTTATTCTCTTCAATTCACTAACCCAACTGTATGTCAACTCGCAAAGATTTTCGACAAAACTGGGCAATAAAGGACATACGAACTCACTCAGTCTTATATATATACTAAAAGGACTCTTGCAATATGACACACAATTTAAAATATATTTTAATATATTTCCAAAATCATACTGGAGTATCGATAGTTATGGGTAAAGAACAGCTATCCCTAACTTTATTTCCCGCTGCAATGTATATATGTTTAACTTGAGAATATTCCTGATCTGTTCCGAATGCAGATTGTGTTTTTGTGTCACCTACAGTTTCCTATTGCATGAAATCATCCTAATCGATTTTATCATCTGATTATTCCAATTCCACTCGAATGCAGTCGTAAGTGCATATCACTGCAATAGATTAAACTTTGGCCTCGGTTACATATCTCAATGATGTCACCAACACAAATGATTATCATTCTGCACTATCGTTCTACGGTGCGAAAATCAGTCTCATTGTGTGATGGAAGGTGGTACAAAGAGGGCCCCGGTTAGCGAATGAATCAAGAATTGGGCCCATCCAACCAGACGCACAGACGTAGCGGCTGGAAGTACTTCGAGAGACAATGTTGACTACCACCCGAAACGAACGAATCTACAATTACAGCCCCACAGACAATCCGCAGCTAGCCAGAAAGATATACATCGAATGCCACTACGATCGGGTCAAACCAGCCGGAACGGCAAGCAGAAGAAGAGGCAACGTACGTGCTCAGTGCGGACCAAAACCAGCAGGGATTGACCAACAGAAAGAGGCATGAATCATCCTGCCGCGCGGTTAAGAATTGAATGTATATAAAATTGACCGCGTACATCGGTTGTTTTTGAATTGGATCAATAAACGTTTTCCTGGCCAGCTTGCCTTTCCGCTACAATAGTACCAATTGAATTTCGTGCATCATATCACATGATCCGAGGCAGCATAATGTTAGCTTTATGAACCATTTCAAATTAATTAATTACGTTGTTCGATGAATAGGTTTCGACTGGAACCGTGAGCTTTTCCGTGTTGCTTCCCGTCGTTCCATCTTGAAAAAAACATTTCAGTTGGACAGTGTTCGGTTCAGACAGATGAACAGGGTTAAACTAGGGTACTGGTGCATGTTGATTAGTGTATCGCGAAAGCCGATCCATGGACTCATGGTAATGTAACTGACTCGAGGTACTGGAACGCATACGGATGACTAAATTGGGGACGGGGTGGGGGAGGGGCAGAATTGATTCTTAGTTCAATCATTTGAAATAGCTTATACTTGTTCTGAAAACGGATAGGGGAAAAATAGCATATTACGATATTTTTCTGTCTGAATGAATCTGGTCTCAGGTTTCTGTCTGGTTTCGCACCATCTTTAATGCGAATCTTCCACTGCCACGAAAAGGATCGAAACCCGAGATGTCACAGGTAAAATATAAACTTGTTGTCTTTCACTTAGGGATTGACTCATTGAAGCATTTTCAATTTCACTTTCTTGTACTGCGTTTGTGTATGATGAACTTTAGTGAAAATTTCCCAATTTTTAACTTCTTCAATGGTTTTTTTCTGTTCTGAAAACTAACCGACCGCAGTAGAAATTGAGTTGGTTATTTTTCTAACCCCCTGATTTGGGATTCATAATACTGAGTTAAAGGGAATAACTTTCAGTGAAAGATATCAGGGAAAATACATATATTACACATCAGACGTGCCTCACAGATTCACCATCAATCAGGCCCGCATTTTCCACCACGTCAATCAACTGAATTATCGGGTCGGCTTGCCTCAGTTTGCTTTTGATCATCTGTCGACCCTATGCGAAGTGATACGTTCGTGCTCTATAAGGTCTGTATGATGGCCGTGTAGCATGTAACAGAAACTGGACCATACCACACACTATGGTGAATCGATATTGGCTTATGTAACTGTCTTTCAGTTTTCTGAGTATTGATGCATGGGTGAGGCGTAGACTGCACTTCTCTAACAGTTTGATAGAGCACAAATCTGTCGCCTCACTGCTGTATGGCTTGAGGTACAATCACATTTTTGTCGTGGCGTTGTGAGGTTCTGTTGGCACTGTTGCGTTTCATGTGACCTCACAAAGGTTTGTACAATTTGACTAGTGATCGATTTATTGGTGGCTTCGTGTGAGACACATGAACCATAATTCGCACTCCACGTACATGTGAACGTTGTATCAAAGATGCTTCGAGAACAGTGGTGTTTCATTTAAATGCTGCTTACCACAGTTTTATGTATTCTTATTTATACTATACGTTTAGTCGTATTTTTTTCATAGACCATCACATAAAGGGATCTAACTAATCACTGGTGACTCATAACACCTCCGGTTTTCTGATTACTCTATTTATGTCAAAACATGAAACATAGAATCATACCAGAATGAGAGAAGGATCAAGAATCTAATCTGATTAATGCATCAAGTTAAGTGAAGCAACACATCACAGGAAATCATATTCGGTCAGTGAGTGACGGGGCAACCAATGGAGGACAACATGTTCCAAACGCCATAATCCGTACGTGTTCTCTGTTCGAGTTGATGAACCACTTTTGTCCAGTTTGCCCAAGAGCTCAGAAAACTTTTGACTTCACACACAAGGGAGATACCTGCACACTGACCCCCGAACAGCAACAGTTCCCGGATCAACTGGACTGTTGGCTGTGTGGCATACCCTAAGAAGTGTCAATCCGAGTGATTGGATCATGGACTTCCGTGAGTTTCGGTCTCCATAAATCATTTCGCTGCCTTGCGAATCGAACGTTGAATATCCGAGGGTCTCGGTTGCAAATGCCAAAGAAATTCACCTGATTCGAACTGAGCAATATGACAGACCAATGCTCATTTAAAAAATGGTGAACTTTTTCGAGATGCTGACGTAAAATTATTTGTCTCTCACCCACTCTCATAGGCCTCTAAATTACATGTACATCGATGATGTATTCGTCGTTTACATGTCATCGATCATATTTTAACCTTTCCGGGTAGCTGATTAACGCACTATTCTATCAAATAGATTTAGATGTGTGTCGGAACGGTAGACACGGGTATTTTTAGTTTTAATTGGTACCCCGTTTCATGCGAACCATGCTGGATAAATGTAGATGTAACATTTTTCTAACAGTTGTTCCGTCGTGAAATAAGGGTTCGAATTTCCCAAATCACCAAAATTATTTGGTTCTCATTCGTTTTGCACTAAAAATGTTTGGTAACTCTTAGGCGACATTACTAGTTTGTTGATGAGCGCCTTCGTTTACAACTGTTAACCAGTACTCAGGCAGCATTTTTTTCGGTAGCTTTACAGTCTTGTGTAATACAAGTTTGTTTGCGAATCTTATGATAAGTCTGCCTTGCTTATGTGGAAGACACACGGGTCCACTTCCTAACTAAAAGCTTCCGATTCGCGTTTCTTATCTTCATCGTGACGAATTTTACCTTTGTGGAACTTCGATCCGTAATTCTTGTTTATTTGGGAAACCTTTGAGAGTTGCATATTGATCCACTGCGTGAATCACTGCCCGTCATGTTTGAAGGTAAGGGCTGGATGCACCGCTGTTGAACTCGGTTTTTACTACTCTTGCACCCAATGCCCTACAACACGACTTTTATGCTTTTGCTACTAATGAGTAGTGTGTCTTCAATCTGAATCATTTTTTGTAGTCCCTTCGCATCACACCAATAGTCGAAATTTGATTCAGTAATTACGGTAACCGCGATCTGATTCAAGGAAGTTCTCTGCTCACATAATTAGGTTGAAAAACTTTAAGTTAAATCTGTCCAATAGCTGATGTAGGCATTGAGCGCTGCAGAGTAAAGCCTAACTGTCCATAAAGCCCGTATCATCACGCTGTGTCCCCCGCAGTGGGAGAGTGAAATAGGATCAATGGGTTACTGTCCATAGGATATCCGTATAATGTGATTGGTGAGTGATTTCTGTCTCTACCATTCCCATTTCCATCTGAAACACTTGACACTGCCTGAATTTTTGTCCTGATCCCTGCAGAGTTCGCATCGAAAGACGACAGCTTCTGATAATAAGTAGTGTAGATATATAGTAACGAAAATACACTTCCTGGGTACAAGAATGAACTGACAAAAGATTACCAGTTACGCTTGCCTGACGAGCGGCAAGAACCACGAAATCGGTCGTATGCTTCCAGGGAAATTTTTTCCAGCTATTCACATACTACTTACTATGAAATATATACATATGCTGATTTTAAACTGTGTGCCAGTTGCCCCATGGTACCAAAGTTTAACGTGGAAATCAGGATAAGTATTGAGGGATAGAAATGATAAACTGTGCGATTAAGAAAGTCACAGTTATTTAAGTGTGTTTCCATCATACGAGCTTTTGAATTGCTAAAGTGATGAACTTGTTCGAATATTTTCCCCTTTTGTTTCTTCCACCACAATCTCTATAATAATCATAGTCTGTTTGAGAATAATGATTTAGTCTTCGAGGTCGGACCAGATTTAGAGCTCTCGACTACCATATACCTGTCACTTGTTTGTCTCTTTTTCATTACAGGTCATGCATGGGTACACCAAGGCGGTCACATCTTCCAACTCCGTTGGTGCACTGTTAATCTGTGTGATTGGAGGCAAACTCAGCGAGGGTATCAATTTCAATGACGAACTGGCACGAGCTGTTATTGTTATAGGTATGCCTTACCCAAATCCGAACAGTCCTTTGGTAAGTTGTTGTTCGAATCCTGAATCGTGTACTCCTTTCTTATTGGGTGGTGATTCCGAATGAGACATTTTAAAGGAGTACCTATCACTGACCATCAAAGCATCACGTTGACTAAGACGAATAGTACCTCCTAGATAAACACGTTCATTATGTATCGAACCCCGTCTCAAGGACAATCACTGCCACGTTATAATAGATATTTGCCAATGTTTTTAAACAAACTGATAACGTACTTTCGATTTGCAACTGTCTTATTCTATTCCGAATTGTTGGTACTTGCTAGTTTTCAACTTTCGTTTTCTGTGATACTTTAATTCACCTTATTAGCGGTTTGTATTTTTTCATGGGTTCAGTTGGTTTGCGGTACGGTGGAATTTGGCTGACCCTTTAACCAGGCGGATGAATTCCGAATTTGTTGTTGATACTTGCTGTTCTACGCCTCAGTTGTTCTTTCACGTCGAATCATCAACTTCTGAAGACCATATACTCCTGCGGTCTCGTTATTTTAAAATTTCTGCGATTTCTGTGTCCAATATTCAAATTTGCTTTTGTTCATTCCGTGTGGAATCGGTTGGAAAATGAGGATGAAGGTCATCACTGTTCTGAGTGTTCTGAACGATATTTCATCAACTGAATAACGATTTCATCTACTTTTCGAGTAACATGGAAAAACTCGACGGTGTCGAAAATTCCGTACATGGGAAACTACGCAAAACGCTTTAATTGTTTTACTGTTATAAAGTTGATCACATCCAAAAGTTGTGGATGAATTTGTCGGGCTTCACGGCTTTGACATTTTCTCGGTCGATTGGATTGTGAATTTTCACAATGGAGGTGTTGTTGGGCGATCATTTTTATTGTAAACCACTCAATTGACTTCAACTCTTGTATTTCTGTTCATTCCAAGCACCGCTTCCTACGTTGGTGCAACATCATTTGTTAATAGCCCATCATCGTGATTCGCTGCCTACCACTGATCAGACTTTGTGTTTTACAACTGACGACTATAATCGCCATGACTCAACCTTCCCGACAACTCATGAATTTAAGGAACTTTACATGTTTTTCTTACTCGACTGGTTTAATTGGACAGCGCGTATGTATATTATATTGATTTTTTTTCACATTCTCCAACGAATCCCTCCTCGTACCTCAGATCATTGAATGGTGTTACTTTAACCTAAGATTCACTCCAAAACTAACCACTACCGACACGCTTGTTGAACCTCGAAGAAAGGACCTCATTCCCCCGATCACTGTGCAGGCTCACGGACTCCATTTCTCATGTTTGCGCGATAGCTTCTTGTCGGAGAACGGTTTACACGACTGGGTGGAACAACAGTGTGAACTGACTATCAGTTGAAATTGTTTTTGATGACTGTGTTGCTCATGCGTCAGCTCTTGTCCCAACGTTGAAAACATAAAAATTTTCATCTCTTTGATATCCCTGAGTCCAACTCTCTACCGCCTCCTGTTAAAAACCCATTTTGAAATTGGCCCTTTTAGTCCAGGCGAGGCTCGCCAAGTCTTTAGAGGACTCAAGGTCAACAAAACCTATGATCCCAATCCCTTATCATCCACTTTACTACGCTCCGCATCTTACATGATCTAGTCATCCGGAAAGATCACCGATTGTTGGAGGTTGGCGCAAATTCAACCGATCGCCATGATGGACTTCTTCCAGTAACGTGCCATTACTCGCATCTCTGTGTTGCTTAACGTTTTAAAAAATGTTTCTCATCGCCAAATGGTATCTTTGCATGACTCAAATGATCCCTCCGAATTGATACTGTCGCCTGTATCCAGCATTTTGTTGCATCCGTCTGAAACAACGGAGGAGATTCTGCTCATTCGATGTTTCTTAAATATGGAAACGCCCTAATAGCCTTCACATATGCTGATGCATCAATTGGTTGCTCATCTCCTGGTCCAACCACCCCTTACCTAATTCGAGACAGGCTCAATAAGCTTCCTGACGGGTCCTTCCCCAGCTCCCTTTGACTTAGCATCAGCAAGTGTTCTGATGTTCCCTTCTGTCTCAAATTCTGTCTTCGCTATCTTCCTTTTTTAAATAGTTTCCCTGTTATTGTTTTCAGTAGTCAGAGCCTTGCCAAAGGTGACTGTGGAACAGCTCAGTATCAGTCCTACCCTTAGCCTTTCCTGATCTACTGATGTCGAAAATCTTTTTCACAAAAGTTCGGAGACTGTACTTTTTCTTGAAGTCGATAAGTTTGTATATTTATGTATATTTCACATACGTCTGACGCCAAACCGTATGTCAAACAAATCATGATACAATAATCGTTATAAAAAGAAAAATTTCCATGATTTGCATGTGAACAGAATACTGCCAGGTTGCCCAGGCCAAGGCAGGTGAATTTTCTTGGGGAATCCACTACCGGAGCCTTCGGCTAACCAAAGCCTCACCCGCAAGGCAGCGGGGCGGTGTGCGAAAACCGCAGTTCATTGGGGGCCGGTGTCCAGTTGATCGAATCTTACGCCCTTCGGGCGGGGTCAAACGTCCCAGGTGCCCTATACGCCTCAGCGCCCAATCGAGTCGGTGACCACAACCGGGAAGGTGTGTGATTCGTACGTCTTCTCTTAGTTGGTTTGGAATCAGGGTTTTGGCCACCTCCCCTAGGTGGACTATCAGTGGTCCACCAACCCGGGTATTGACTATTCGTCCTCTCACTTTGGTGGAAAAACACCTTCGCCACGAGAAGGCATTGAGTGGGGCTTCCTCAGCAGAGATTATTTGAGACGTTTGGTGCAAGGGTAGGGTGACCAATCGCAACCCTAGACACGCACCCCCGACCATACTGGGGCTTTTGGAGGCAAAGTCGACAAGTCATGGTGTGCTCATGTACGTTTTGAGTGCTATTGTATTTTGAATGCGACTCAGTGTTGTTTCACATTCGACGATCAAAAAGAAACAACGCCGAAATTCTGAACAAACAGTTTCCCCTGGAGGTGCGTAACCAGTTTATTAAATTTTCTTGACATTTGATTTGTAATGTCAAAATAACCCCTGAATTATTTTCCGTATATTACTTTGTAATACATCGATCTTCAGTCACTAGAGGCTACTGAGTGCTGTGAGTAAACATAATCCTTAGCCGTGTGGTCTGTTAGGGTAATTGGCCAGGACCAACAGAGTTGGTTACCACCAAACGGATAGATATTAGACTCACTTTGAATCATAGTTCACCTTGTCTATATTGTATATTGTTCGAATGTGTCCGTACACATCTGAATACCCCCATTTGTTTTATCGTTTTGATTCAGCTCCGAGAAAAAATGGCCTACCTAGACCGCCAGTTCGGAAGTCGACCCGCTTATCGATCGATCAGTCCGGGCCGACAGCATTACGAGGCGTTGTGTATGCGTGCCATCAATCAGGCAATCGGCAGAGCTGTTCGACACTCAAAAGATTATGCGGCCATATTTCTTGTGGATCGCCGTTTCACTCGTGCTAATATACAACAAAAATTGCCCGATTGGGTTCTGCGTGGTTTGCGAGAAACGCTCGACCCTAACACTCTGAGAATTTCAGCCACACAGGCAATGCAAAGACTTGATGCGTTTTTTGTCGCCACGGCTCGACGGGAAACTCAGAACTGAAGTCACTATTGGTGGCGTAGTTGTGATCTCAACAGTAACTTGCATTTCCTGTTCACTATTTTTAGGAACAGTCTTTTCCAGAGATTTTTCTTTTCATACACTTTTGACCTCTTTTAGTGTGTTTAGCAATGCGATTTTCAGCTTTTGTTGCCGCGCATTGGTGACGGTACTCTTCTATTGGGTCTGCAAAAACGATGAGAAATAAAACTCTCGATGAAAGCCAGTTTTCGGTTTCCTCCTGTAGCCGGCCCCATTACAAAGGAAGCCGAAAAGAGGAACTCAAGGGCATAATCTATTTTTATGTTTCACATGATTTTCATTGAGGATTACAGTAGTTCCATGTTCACAGCCCTTTACAGAGTAACAACCAATCCTCATATTGTGTTGTTTAGCAGTTTACAGAAGACAATTATCTTATGTTGTGATTTAGGAACGGTCTAGTACCCTCGGTGGGATTTGAATTCTCGCTTGGACCCCGCCTACGCGTCACACGCTCTACCAGCTGAGCTTCGAGGTCAACTTGCAGAGACATACTGAATCCACCGGGTGGTACGTGATTTGACTGCTACACAGTCGAAAGAGCGTGCTCTCTGCGCAAACGCGTGCACCAATGCTGCTAAACTTTTCACAGTTCAAAACATGATCCTCATGAGACAATTATTGGTCGTCGTTTCCCAACCGATTTTATCTGTAGTTACGTTAATGAGACCCGACTAGGTCGAGACAGCTGTAAAGTCAAAGTTTTATTATGGGCGATTTTAACAAAGCTAAAGCTTATTATGCCCCATAGGATTTTTACAGAATGTTTTGGATAACTTCACAAAGAGAAAATAACAAAGATAATAATGTGCGTGATCACTCACGGACGTTGANCGTTGAAATTTTAAGTGTTCCAATGCTTTATCAAGTTGCGATTTCAATAGTTCAACTGTAGGAGCACAAACTACATCAGATGGGAGAGAATTCCATGCGCCGCACACTCTGACTGCAAACGAGTGATGCCGGCAATCAAGGTGGCTGTTCTGGGTCTCCACGTTTAGTGGATGTCCCCTGAGGTGATCATTATGAGATAAAGTCAGCAGAGAACGGCAAGGGTGGTTGGGTTGATGCAGTATGTGATATGCCAATATTAGGTCCCCTCGAAGTCGGCGGTATTGAGATGAGTAGAGTCCCGATATTTGCAGTCTTTCGGAGTATGTCCTGTTATACTGAACTTTTACCAATTTTGTTGCCAACCTTTGCGGACGTTCTAGAGCCTTCCTGTCGCGGTTTAACCATGGATTCCATACTTGAACGGCGTACTTCGTGTGTGGCCGAACGAACGCTGATAGCAAG